TGCGAGCTTTGATCGGTCTTATCTCGTCCGTTCTTCTTCGAACGGATAACACGAATCGCGATTTATCGATATCACGTGTCGCCAAACATTTTCACGAGACACTTGATCGTGAAATAAAAGAAAAAAAAAAAAAGAAAGGATTGTACGAATGTGTTTCTTTTTAGAAGAGCGACAGATGTTCGATGTCGAAACCAAGCTTGCTCGAATGGAATAGCGAAGAAGTTTCTACGTACGTGAATCAACGCTTCCGGTGTTTGGGGACTCGTTAAATCCAACGCGAACTCGGAGACAGTATAAATACAAACAGCGATTAAGAGGCGATCCTAAGTAAACTCGGCTCTTCAAGTGGTTCCCGAGGAGGTCGCGAGCAAGAAATGACAAAAATAAGAGCGGCAGATGTACAGCGTGAACGAATTTAATTAAACATCGCCCCTCCCTCCATGCTCCCTCCACTACCGAGGGAGATGCGATGCCATCATTCGCCTGGCGTTGTCTATTCCATTTTAATATTTTTGTTCGCGTCTTTTCCCCGCTTTGTCTCCTCTTTTATTTTCAAATTTTCTTTCTTTTCCATTTACTTCGAGTATTTATTAGAGGTAAAGATAAAAAAAACTTCTCTCGTTTCTTCTCGCATTCGTTCTTTTCTATTCTGGATAAAAGAGATCGGAGAAGAGTTCCAGAATCCGTTCCATCTTTTCCACGATACGATTCGCCGGGTCGCGGCGTACATCAAAGAGGACGCGCGATGAACGAACGGACGAAAACGATTAAGATTGCGGGTTTTTAAGAGAGGAGAATCGAAAATCTCGTGGGGAGGGGGAAGACTACGCACGCCTCGAAGGGCCACCGCCCGATAAATCATCTCACGGATCCCAAACCTACGTCGATCTAAAGTTAGAAAGCGAAATAGGTCAGTTTTGAGGGAGGGGCAGATTGTTTCCGATCGATCTCTCTCCGTTTCTCGACCAAAGATTCTTGCTTGAATGGAACATTGAATAGAAGATTGGAAATTTCTGAGAATACTACAATAACACGGTTAGTCAATATTGACTACCGATGTATATCTATTGGCAATAAATTTCGAATCGCATCATAAATACGCTCCGAGAGATCTTCCTCCTCTATCCTCCTCTAGTTCGATCTACAAACTACTTCGATTCGAATCGTCGCGAACTCGCTAGTTTTACGAGCGAGCCGAAGAAAAGGATGCTTTGTTGGCGGGCACGAGTTTACGATTCTCACAAAATCAGAATAAAAAATCGAAACCGGTAAGGGGAAAAAAGGGAGGAGGAGGAGGAGGAGGGGGAGGTGCGCGGTCAAGCTTACGACTTTACTTTTAATGCGGGTCTGTTCGTTGGTTCGCGGGAAAGGGGACCGTACGTAACGTTTCCCCGAAATATATGTGAGCGGCATTTATTCTCGCGCAGTTGCCCGAAACTCCGCACTCTGGTCGATTCGTTGACCCCTCGAGCCGACTGAATCACGATAAGGGTGTCCACCGGTCGCACGAGTCATCTTTTCCAATTAGCCTCTCCACCGAAGAAATGCGTACGATCGAGCTTGGGGGACGTCACAGTGGACGATCACCGTGGATTTACATTCGATCGAATTTCAAAGAATTAATATCCATGGAATGGAAATGTTTTACAGTGGGAGATTCGGAGGAGCTCGAAGGATGGCATAGGCGGCATACAATTGAACGGCAGCATGTGCTATGTGATAGTCACTGGTCGTAGTTTGCTGTGGACGTTGCTGTCCCTGGTGGCGTTAATGGCCGTTTTATCGGGCCTCATCACTCCAAAATGGCTGATTGGACCGCAGATGAAGGACACGAGTAACTATTTTCTCTTCTATTCTTTCCTCCTATCGATTATCGTGCGATCCAAACAACTTATACTTAATGTAATCGAAATAGACTTGAACTTTAATGAGATTCCACTCTTTTTTCTTGGTATTTGCATAATTCAAAACTTTTAACGAAAAAATTATATCGAAGAATAGCTTTTTATTTTATTTTATTTTATTTTTCTTTCTTTTCTCAATTATTCTCAGAGAATGGATCAGAGTCCTACGTACCGACAGTTGGAATTTTCAATCGTTGCATCAGGCTGCACGGGAAGAAGACTCATTGCGCGAATTTTAACTTGGACGGCTTCGCCACGGATTCCAGTGTATTTCCAGGCTGTTGGAAAGCCTCGTACTTCTTCTTGTCTTTTGGCTTGGCGATTATGGCGATGACGGTGTTGGCAGCTTTGGTTGGCTGCTGCATGCAGAGCATCGGCAGAAAAAGCATCTTCAATTTGGCTGGTGTGGCGCAAGTCATCGCTGGTAATAAATATTCCAATATCGTAACACTTCGATGTAATGCACGCTTCATAATTTTTTTCGATCCATCGATAATTCTGCTTATCCTTTTCCCATCAGGGATATTCTATCTGTTGGGAATGATTTTGTATCCAGCCGGTTGGGGAGCAGAAAGGGTTCAGAGGATCTGTGGACCGGAAGCCGATGCTTTCTACCTAGCTGAATGCTCCTTAGGTAGGTAGAAATTTAAAATGAAAAACGAACAAAGATGAACGGGAAGCTTCTTCTACTTTATCTGGCCCCCCTATCGCTGAGTGAAAAAAAAAAAAAAAAAAAAAAAAAAAAAGAAGGGCTGAAAAGAAATGTTTTATCTTCCAGGTTGGGCTTTTTATAGTGCCGTGATAGGGGTCGGGTTGACGTTTATTTGCGCAGTAATCAGTGGCCAAGCGGAAAAGTCCACAGCCAGCGACAAAGTTCAAGACAAGATGAACGAGGGGAAAACTTTGATTTGTCTCGCGTGAAACGAGAAAAACTGGGGAATTGTATATCATCTGATCGATGCCTTTTTTTGGAACATCCGCATCACGATTTTCTATGCCAGAAAAGTGATGAAGGAAAATGCCAAAATAATATTCCTCCCTCTTGGATCCGTTGGACGAAAGAACGAAAGGAGAGAGAGAGAAAAAAAAAAAGAGAAAATTTATCGCGGGACCAAATTGAGATTTATCGAGGATCAAGGTCGGTGATTCTTCTTCTTCTTCACGGAGTGAAATTAAATTTTTGCTCGGACGGGGAGCATTACTTATATCCCAAAAATGAATCTGTTCTGTGCCAATTAAATTCTTCCCCAGGTTTTCTATCGAAATATAGCGTTGTAGTTGTGTTTCACGATAAGTACGATCGAACGTACTTTTCTTTTTTTTTTTTTTTTTTTTTTTTTTTTTTTTTTTTTTTTTTTTTTTTTTTTTTATACTACAATTTTTATACAAAATAAATGTACATGATACGGATATTCGTAGGAGATAAGGCATAAGAGAAAATTATGTATTATACAAGGAAGAAATAAATGAAGGATATACTGTTGAAAAATTCGTTTCTTCTTCGTCGTGTCTTTAAATTAGAAAGAAATGTTTTCTTTTCCTATCATTTTTTATTAATCCATTGAGAACAAGTGTATGTCAGCTTACTATTATCTAATAATAAATAATTCGTGTAAAAAAAAGAGAAAGGGGAACGTTCGACGGATCGATGCGACATCGAATCTCTTCGAACGAAATATGTTAAAAGAAAAAAAAGAAAAAAAAAAAAAAACTTGCGTTTCCGGAATAATTGTTCGACTTCTCATATGAAATAAAAACGCAGGACACTCTTTCTCCATAAAGAAACCATAGTCACCTGTGACGAAAGTTTCGAAGAAATTAGAGACAGAAAGAATCGATGAATGTAATCGTCACGACGATTATCCTCGTATACGCTTAGAATCGATCTCTCGAGAAGCTTCGCGGTGTGTGTATGGTTCTTACAAAAAGAAGCAACGGGGGAACTTGTCTTGAATATAAATTACTACGTGTGGATTAAGGTGAGCCCCTAAACGCGGACTGTACACGTAAAACGATATATCGAGATGCAATTCTTGAAAAACTAATAATAAAAATAATAATAATAATAATAATAGTAATAATAATAATAATAGTAATAATAATAATAATAATAAT